TATGGACATTTAAAGAAGCTTTCATCGCGAAATACTCTGTAGAGTTCCTCGTTACTTACAGTGTGTTTTGTGAGTATCCTTTTAAGGTTCTGTTCGTTAAAAAGCCGTCGGTGAAGGAAAAGAGACTGTGTTGGAATTGTCTCACTATCGCCATATATAAGTGTTAAACTTAATGTAGCCCTGTAGCCCATCATTGTTGAGTGGCTTCTTAGTTTTTGGAGTTGTAGTGCTAAGTAAGTTATTCTGATGACTACATTTTAACTTTTATTAACTAACTAATGATGCTAGAGATTCTCTGATCTTTTTGGTTGCGGAATTTTTATGAAAACCCTCCTATGTGTGACATGATGTGATATTGGATAATTCTCAAGATTCCCAAAATTCAATATCAAGTAGGTTTTCTTTCACATTGCTTAAATTTGGTTTAGTTTTTGTATTTTCCCAGTGGGTTTTGTTACCATCAGTTTCCAAATTTTCTTAATTTGACATTAGTCGCAAAACCCATAGTGCACAAAGCTCTTGGCCCGGCCCGTCCATAGCCCGTTAACTAATGATATTTGGGGGCCCGGCCCAGCCCGTAGCCCAGCCCGGCCCATGGCCCGTTGGGCTGGCCCGGCCCGTGGCGAACACTGTAAGGAACCCAAGTCGCCGTGGCCTCCTCCGTATCGCCCCGTCTCGGCGACGGGGACGAATGACGATACACAGATGGCGGCGGATAGCCGAGGCGCCTCGGCACCCGGCATGAGTCATAGCCACCAGGCGTCCGGCGAGATTCCTCAGCACGAACAAAGAAAGACGAGCCGGCACCGTCCGAGCGCAGAGCCACCTAGCACGGGAGCGTGGCGTCAGAGCTTGTGTCTGCACCACCAGAGTGGAACGATAAATCCCCCATAAATCTAAGCCTTGATAAATCTTTGTTAAGTACTGAAAGTATGCCTCATGTGTAGTTCAATGAGTAATGGGTATAGGTAAACCTACTTATAGGTATTACCGCGCCCGCGAACCTCGCGTCTATAACTAGGTTTAGTTTATCTTTATGCTAACATGAAATGGCTGTTTTTCTCAGCCTATCTCTTACTTTCACTAGTTTTTCTCAGCATATTCTATTCACGAAATCACATTTGCTTCACAGCAAGAAGAAATCACAGGGTAAGTAACTTGGTGTGTGCATTTCAAGTACTGCGGTACAGCATATCTTCAGGCGCTCGACGCCCCTGCCCTCTAGTGAGAGAAGCGCGAACAAGTTCATTTGTCGTGCGGTACAGCCTACCTCCAGGAGCTTATACTAGTGCCATCTAGTGGCAGAGCTATACACGATCACGCGGCGGGGCTGAGCCGTGCCTCGGACCACAGTTCGCTACAAGATTCTTTCAGAAGTTTGTGATACGTTTTCTGCTTTCGCCCTAGATATATTTTCGGTCACATGACCCAGCTATTTATTCTATCATCAGAATAAACTGGTCATTTCATGAAATCTCTCTGGCTTTCTCAGACTAGCGTAGGAGGTACTGGATATCGACCAACTAATTAGCCTACACTTCCACTACATCTTCCTTGTTCCCATCAACTTTTGCTAACAATATGCAGCACACGAAGCTAATGTCCTCAAACGCAGCAGTCGTCCCGGAGCTTCTTCGGGCCTGTAAGCTTCATAGTAGACGTGCACGTCCGGTTCCGGGTTCTCGTGCCAAGCGAGATGGAGAAAGAGAGAGAGAGAGAGAGAGAGAGAGAGAGAGAGAGAGAGAGAGAGGGGGAGAGAGAGAGACTGCAAACGGACATACAATTGCAGACAGACAGACAGGCATGCAGACAGACAGACGGACAGGCAGATAAACAAGCGTAGAGAGACAGCTGGACGGAGACAGAATGGGGTCGGATGTCGAAGCTACATACATATGTGTAATGTGTATTACAGTGCACGGAGCACGGGGGACAGACCAGCCGACCCGGCGCCGCTGACGTCATTTCACCACATCAGCTCGAGCCGCAGCTGCTCCACAGTGACGTCACATTGACGTCACCGGAACAGGTAGCGCGATGAGGGTAATATGTGCAACCACATAGAGCGAGAGACCTGTGTGTTGATTGAACGGCCCACCGAATAGCCGCTGGGTGTTGGACACAAATACCGACCGAGTGCGGGTTCCAGGAGAGCTTCCGGGCTATTCTGGTCGCCAGAATGCAACAGACGGATTGCGAGATGTCGGCGTGAAAAATAGTATAGTAGAGAATAGTCTCAGACAGGGGTGCGGAGCCGGAGCCGGAGCTGGAGCCGGAGCCGCCGGAGCCGGCATATTTTGCCGGAGCCGGAGCCGGAGCCGGAGCCGTCAAAAAAGGGGGCGGCTCCGGCTCCTTTTTTGAAGAGGAAAAAGTTATTGACCTAGTTCGGTTTGACAGTAGGTGCAAGGCAGTAAAACATGTGGTATTCAAAATATAAAAGTAGCCAAGGCCCTAAAAAACAAAAATAGCCTTGTTATGCAAATACAGAAGCAACGTGTACCAATCCTATTGTCTTTTTTATTCCACCTGTATTTAATTGCATAGGGGATATACTGAGTACTGGAGCCGGAGCCGGAGCCGGAGCTACCGGAGCCGGACCATTTTACTCGGAGCCGGAGCCGGAGCCGCCATGACATTTCACCCGGAGCCGGAGCCGGAGCCGAAGCCGGAGCCGGAGCCGTCTGAAATTTCTACCGCTCCGCATCCCTGGATTCTCAGATGTTTACTGGTCTAGGGGATTTACTGAGAAGGATCCGAGTGGACAATTCTGTTATCAAATAAGCTTTGTTTTTTCTTAGATAACGCTGGTTGAGTCATTGCGATGATGCAATCGTGAGTCCGTGACCTCCCTTTAGTTGCAGTCGGTGACCTTTTCAGGGTTCTATTGCAAAAGGTTTAGGTTCAAATGGGTCATTCGAATGATTCTCCACCAACGTTTATTAATGAGTTCTTCTATTCAGCATTCGTCACTTACATAACAGCTCGTTAAAATGCAGGAACTCCAATAACCAATACTGATCGGGGGTCAACGCTTGACTGATTGAGAATGTTGACCTCCTAGCTCAATAAGCCAATGTATACCTACACCTACCTTTCTGACCTTTTCTACGGCATGCCGCGTGTCCGGGTCAAGAGAGGCCACCGCCGCCTCGGGAGCCGAACTGTAACAATGAGGTCGATCAGGATCTATACAGGGTGGGCGGCGCGGGTCAATACCGAGTCCTGAGTAGGTACGCTGAGGCCGCTAGGTGAAACGATTAGATTGCTTCCATGGTGGGGAATAGAGCGAGGCGGCGGAGCGATGTGACAAATGTTCAATAGGTGCTCTAATGAGGGTCAACTCACAGCGGCAGCGCTTAGAATGGTAGAGAGATGAAATATTGTAGAGGAGTAGTTACAAAAAAGACACTCCAAAAGTTACGGGAAAGCGAGAATTTCTCTTTTTTTTAAGCAAGCGACGGTGAAGAGCAATGACGCATAGAATAGAAGGCCTCTAAATATCCTCATCCACTACGGGGTTTCGGTCCGGACATCGCAGCGAAGTTCCTTCGAAGTCGTATAGTCGCCACATTCTGCCTCCCACGGGACAGCTCGGGCGCAGCGCAGGCGGGGCAGAGCTCAGCCGGACGCTGAAGGTCAAACGGCGCCGGCCATCGATCGCCCAAAGCAGCGGCCCGGGCTGACCTTAAAGGTCAAGGTCGCGCTCAGGGACAAGCGATACACTGAGCAGGCGGCCACCAGAAGTTAGTGGTATAAATAGGCCCCGGGCGGCGGCTGCCGTTCCGGGCCGGTGTCTCAGCCGGCTGCCACATGGCACTGCTCCCGCATACCACTGCACCGGGAGAGCCAGTTGACAGCGACGTGACACGTCACGTGTTGTTGGAACGACGACACGTGACCCGATGAGCATGGACTCCACCGCCGGGGGGGGGGGGGGGGACGGGGCCATGCCCCTGAATCATTTTCCTTTCTAAACTTAATGTTTGTTGACGTTGCTTGAAAATGATCGATTCCAAACGGTTCTTTTCCTCACCTGTCGCGTTTTGATGATTATGAGGCGATCTGAACTCAGGGCCCCGTAGAAGGTGTTGCTGCCCCGACAGCACCCATATAAAAAAGCTCTTATCAGTCGGAGCTACGACAGTCCCTGTGGAGATGCACTTGCTCTTTAAATCGTACATTTTACCTATCTTGAAAGTACCTACCTACTGTATTTTTTATAGGTAGGGTAGGCCTAAGTCTTACCGACTTTTGAAATCTGATGTTTTTTTTTTCGATAGAATGACTGACTTCAGTTTCTCATTGAATTTATGGCCGGTTAGATGGCACTATTTATTTCTAACCTAGGCTCTTGGCCGCCTCAGTATTAAATTGTAGCTTTGCTTGTGTAGGTACTGCGCCAGGCAATAACGTTGCCGGTAGCAATACAAATAAAGCGATTGATCCAATTGGCAAGTTCATGTACATTTTTCCTCTAACTCACCAAAAAACAACTCAGTGCCATTCATTGGAAGCGCTTTTTCTGATTTATATCATATATGTAAAGTAGGTGCTGAATGTGACATATAATAGTGCATCATGTATGGCTTAAACTTTTGAATTCATTTTAACAGGGGATAAAAAACGCAAGGAATCACCCAACGTTTCGCATTTATTGCTTAGTCATGGGCTTTTGAGTGCGATGGTGATAATCCCTTAGGTGCTAAATCTTTGGAAAGGAGAGGTGCAAAAGGTTTATAAGATTAATTTGCAACTATTTAATTTAGCGCAAGTGAGCCTTCACTAGTACTCTACGTGTATGCCGCACTTGCGACATTTGATGAGTGTAGTGTTCAGAGTATACACGATTCTTGAAGGTGAGGTCAATCTAGGCAGATAATAAACTGCTAAGCCAATCAAATCGGATAATTTTTATCATTAGCATCAAATGACTTGAAATAGCAGGAAACTCTCTCAAGCCTGAACACGTCTCTTCCGATAAGATTTTTGCCGTGCGTGCATTTTCTCTTGCAATGCAATCAAGGCATCATTCATTGCAATGATAAGGACCCGATTTGGATGTGACTGATCCGTGAAGGGTTAAGGTAAGGTAGGTAGGTGTTAAGTCTCTTCCAATTTGCCTCAATTAAGCGTTAATGTTCAGACAAAGTCTGATTCACTTTCCAGGCATAAATATTGCGCATTCTCACACTATTTGACATCCTGAATCCAGATATGATTCTTACATGTGGTGCAAGTAAAAGAAAAAAAAACAATTGAACCAGACCTAACCTTACAGGCTTACCTACTTAGGTACCTACAACCCAGTCTGCAAAGTATGGCAATTTCGACAAGATCTCAAGATCATGGCCAACTTGTATTTGTTAGTTTTGGAGGCTTGACATATGTATGCATGTATTATGTATGTATTACCATCATGATATGTTAAAAGGGGATCTCAACATTTGATAAATTTTCTTTCAGATAGCTATTTGCACAGCATCTCAGGTACATCCAGCTCAAGGTTTGACCAAGCTGGTCCCAGTGTTCAGTCACATGAAGTGAAGCCTCGCCTGGCACAATGAGCAGCTGGCTGCAGAAGGCGCCCTTCGGGGACTCCATCCTGGCCAGGTTCCGCACCAGTCTGCCAGTGAAGGATGAGGTGGACATTGATGTTTGTGTGGAGAGCTTCCACTCACACTGGGAACAGGCATGGACCAAGATGCAGGCACATCAGGTATGGAGGATAAATCTTTTATATTATATGCACTTGAATCAGCTTGGGTGTGTGCAATGTGCATGTAACCAAAGATGTATCATCTTAAACTACAAGTTAGTACCTACCTATATGTAGTTAAAATAAGTGATCTATGGAATGGCGAGGAATCAAAAGCACTTCTTATTAAAAGACAAGATCCAGCTTCTTTTGATTTAGTTGAGAGCATGCATACTAATGTTGAAATGATGATTCCCATTGTGCAGGATGGAACTGTTGCTGTCACCATGGATGAGGTGAACACCGTGCTGAACCACACAGACCAGCTGCGGGCGCTGGTCTGCTGGGAGCTGGAGCAGCAGCAGGGCAGCCTGCCCGGCCGGCTGGCCGACCTGTTCCTCTCCAACCGCGTCCCGGAGCGGCTGCTGGCCTGGAGCAGCTGCTGCGGCCAGTTCGAACCGCTGCTGCAGTCGGAGCTGCTGCGCGTGTTCGAGCAGCTGCTGCGCGCCGGCGGCGGCTCGCTGCTGGAGCAGCGCGCGCTGCTGCGTCCGCTGACGGCGCTGCTGGTGCGGTGCCGCAGCGCGCCGGCCGCCGAGCAGCACCGGCGGCTGGTGCTGGTGCTGGCGCAGCTGTGCGCGGCGCTGCAGGCCCGGCCGGCGCTGCTGGACCTGTTTCTGGGCGTGGAGCCGGACGGCAGCGTCTCCAGCTGCGTGGTGTTCTCGCTGCTGGTCGAGTTTGTGCACAGCGCCGGCGTGGTGGGCGCCACGGCGCGCGAGGCGCTGCTCCGCTGCACCCGGCTCTCCGCCGACAGCCGGCCGCTGGCCGAGTTCATCGTGCACCACTCGGACTTCTGTGAGGTGAGGCGGCCATAAACGGTCCGGGATATGTGACCGTTTTGTCTTCGTGCCATCCTTGTAATCATTGAATCGTGCCGTCTTCAAGGCTATCGTCTCCTTGGCCATCTCATTCCAGTGATCAATAATTTCTTTGACCTTGCAACCCCGGTGCCGATTCATTCATCATCTTACCACTCCGTGCCTCTCATGCCCTGACCTGCCCGTGCCGTGACCGTATGTTGTAGGTACGTACCACCCTCTTCCACGCCCTGACCCGTACCTCGCCCTGACTCGTACCTCGCCCGTACCCCGTACCTATGCTGTGCAGGTGCTGGCCACTGGTCTGAGCGGCCTGTACTCTGCCCTGCCGCGCACACCGCCCGCCGAGGACGAGGATCTACCAGAGGTGGATGCCTTCGTCTGCTCCCTGCAGTTCTGCAACTCGGTGCTACAGGTGAGAGAGGTTGGAAGTGGAAAGGATGGAAATGGAAAGATTGAGGCCACAGTGCGCCAGTGGGTGTGGCTGGTTTGGTGGTATTTTCCGTGGAAAGTTGTGTTCATTGAATGTATAAGGACGTAAGACGTAGAAGGCAATATGGAGCTTTATCTGCTATGCTGATAATAGTGTGTGCTATTCGACGCCTCGACGACTGCTTTCCACTGGTTACGGCTTAATTCCCTTAACTATCGTCACTTGCCATCTTTCTAAGATGAAGCTGACATTTTCGTCATCTTTGCGGCATTTCAGGTTTAATACTTTGATGTTCATTTCTAGATGGATATCACCAGGTCATACTACCACCAGGTCACAAGTCAAACCTTGATGAGATCGCACCCTCTAACCATCCCCGTTTGTCGTCGCCAGACATGCCACCCGATGGTGTCAGCCGTACTGCTGGAGCTGGTCTACCAGGGATTCCTGGTGTCCGTGATGGGACCGGCACTACACCAGGTTAGTGGAGTACGGGAAAGGGGTGGAAGGGGAGAGGTGATAGGGATTCCTTGTGTCCGTGATGGGACCGGCACTGCACCAGGTCAGCAGGGTACGGGAGCGGGTGGGAGGGGAGGGATGAGAGGGATTCCTGGTGTCCGTGATGGGACCGGCACTACACCAGGTCAGTGGAGTACGGGCGAGGGGTGGGAGGGCTGAGGGGGATTCCTGATGTCCGTGATGGGACCGGCACTGCACCAGGTCAGTGGAGTACCGGGGCGAGACCGAGTGAAATGTGGGTGGAAGGGGAGGGATGAGGGGGATTCCTGATGTCCGTGATGGGACCGGCACTGCACCAGGTCAGCAGGGTTTGAGCGGCCTCTAGGACGGGGTGAAACGGATGGAAGGGAAGGGGGCGAGAGAGGGGTAAGGGGCGGGTGAGGACGCTCGGGGATCAATAACGAACGAAATGAAGGCAAGTTGGTACAGTTGGCAGTTCTAAATATTTTTGCTTCTGAAAGCTATGTACCTAAATCAAATTTTCCGGATTTTTTTTTTGTGCTGAGCTTAACTTTGTTAGAGTTGAGCTAAACTCTACCAAACGTCCACTTCAGCTTTCTGAAATGGGACCATGTTTTCTTACGGGAACTTCACGTATCTATGTTTTTGACAAATTGCATGTTAAAGCTCCTGTCGCTCATGTCAGGGAGCGTGTGCAACGTCCCATGGGCGGGCCATTTCGTTCTATTGAGCCGATAAGTAGTTAGTCCTACCCGGTCAGGGAGCGGTATCGCTGTCCGATACAGCCGTCAGGCTCGATACCGATCAACGGCGCAGTTTCACTACGGCTGTTTATACATAGCTGACACTTGAGCCGAGTCCCGCACCAAACGCAGGCTGTCGTATCGGACATCAGCTCTCTGCTGCATGGCCCATCTGTCACTCGGAGCACCTGCAGTGCTTAGTTAGATGATATCGTGGCTGGTTCAGGATGAGTATGTGTACATCATCTCTGCACATCAAATATTGAAATGTTTCCGCCCCCCCCCCCAAATCCTTAATTTGTCAGAATATGATATCCATTTTTCCTTTTAAATTTTCGTAAGGATTTCAGAAGTGTCGTTATTGACATTAAACAGCCCAGTTTATTTCTATTCAGCGTCACATGCATATAAAGCTAATGAGGCTCTTGGTAAATATCGAATGGAGGCAATGTTTCAACTTTGTTCAGTAATTACAGCTCGTGTCTCTTAAATTGTTAATTACATAATGGCCTAATTGAAAACTTTGACATTCGAAGTTCTAGTTAGCTCTACATCCAGGAGTACCCCACGCTGCAGCTACCTATGCGACCCCGTGAGTTGAGACCCCCTTCCGTCAGACTCTTCAACTCTTCCCGCTCTAGTCATTGAGCTCCGACCGTCTACACATGTACCACGGGTTGGCTTCAGCCACGGCCCCGGGTCGGAGTCGCTGTCCCCTACCGCCAGCAGCCGGACAGGCTGATAACAGCGGCCGTTTTGGTCATTGTCAACATGGCCTTTGCACTGGGCCGAATCACGCGTGGGACCGAGATCGCGCTGATACCGGGCCTAGCTGCATTTCGGGTACCTTGTTGACCGTAGGCAGAGTTCAAAGGTCGCGATATGAGGGGGCGTGAGGGTGAGGGAGTTCTGGTTAGAGTACGGTTTGTGCACCGTTTTTAGTGCCTTGGCTGTAAATACCGGGCGCAAACACAGCTCAGATGGATGTCAGAACCCGTGAAATATTAAATGCCAAACAACAGGGGATAACTCAGTGGAAAACCCATGACACACTGGCCAAACATGCGACCTACTTTTGCCAAACGAACAGAAATCAAGCGCCGCAAGACCACGCCACGTCTTGATGCTAGTTTCAGACCACCCCTACTGGCTCTCACATATTTGACTTTCCTCTGTGTGCTGCTTTCTGCGGAGCCCCTTAGAGGCGGTGGTGGCGACCTCTCCTCACTGACCCCCGCCCTGTGTTCTCTCCCCAGAGCTCGTCCGAGGCGGTGGTGACGGCCACCACGTACCTGGAGCTGTGTATCCGCTCTGTGGACCACCCGGGACTGGTGCGCGCCCTGGTACGACTGCTGCTCCGGCACCGACACGATGGGGTGGCCGTCATCGACACACTGGTACAGCGGATTGCTGCCACGCAGAGGGTACGTTGTGTGTGTCTTGGGATATGTGTTTCTGGTGCATATGGAGGGACGACGGAAATGTGGAGGTTGATGATGATGGGTCTGTGCTAATCAAGATTTTGCTAGTCTGTCATCACTGGACTAGTGTGTCATGGCTTTCGATGATAGGTATCGCTAAATTCCATTTGGTTATTTTTTGTCATTAATAACATTTAAAAGTGTAAGACAGTCACTATCTATGTAGCTGAAAAACAAAACAAAATAACATTCATTGACTCAACGGGTGTTCTGCTTATTTTGTTATGAGTGTCCTCCACTTTCTCCCATTTTCTGCATCTAAATCCTGCCTAAATTTTGTAATAAAAAGACATCTAACGCTCGGCTTTCCGGCTGGCAGCTGGCGGTGGCGACGCTCTCCCTCCTGCACACCCTGCTGAACCTCAACTGCGAGGACGTGCTGCTGGAGTTGGTGCTGCGCCACCTGCTGCCCTGCTCCCACCTGATGGCCTCACAGCGCAGTCGGGTCACCGAGACGGACCTGTACGGCGCCGGGGCGCGGCGGCTCCTCTCCCTGGTCCCGGCCTGCTGCCAGCCGGCGGCGGCCGCCGACCCGCGCGCCGCCGCCGCTGCCTGGCTGCAGTGTGTCCGAGAGGCGCGACTGGCTCTCACCGCCTGCAGACTCGCCACGAGTCGCTGGACCTATGCGTATGATGGGTCCGATCCGTCACCGGCAGAGGCGGAGCGGATGACACGCCGTCGACCGTCGAGTGTTGGATCACTGTCGTTACTAGGAATGGAGGAGAGGGGAGAGGCGGACGGAGAGACCGGAGGGGAGGCGGCGGCGACTGCGGCAGCGGGGACGCGGCTGAGTGCGGCAGTCGGTGGTGGACCCGGTGGCTCTCCCGTGGTACACGGCTGGCGACTGGGGCGACTTCAGGAGACCGGTACAGCCGCAGGGGAGCGAACGGGGTCGCCCCAGTCCGATACAGCAGCTGACGAGTCGTCCACAGCCGCAAAGGATGGAGAACAGACCTCAAACGACGACGGGAAGGACGTGTCAAGTAACCCGGATAGCCTGCAGAGCAATCCTGACGGACTGGGCTCGGACGGCGGCTCAGAGGCCGGCAGCAGCGATGCGTCTGTCAAAAGCCAGGTGTGGGCTACACCGCCGCGACCTCGGCCCCCTCGGCGTCCGACTGCGTCCGCCGCCGGTCCAGACCCGTACCCCGAGCTGGACCTGTCAGAGGGGGATGTCTGGGCCACGCCTCGGACTTCTCTCGGAGCCTCCCGCGTGGGACCGGCGGACGACACCCCACGACAGCTGGGCGTCCTCGCCATCCTACCAGACGAGGAATCGTCAGGCACCGAGTCTTCCCGCGGCGGTGGAGGAGAGACGGTGTCACTGTCTGGCGCAGAGGTGATTGGTGAAGAGGTGAGGCGCGACTCTGGGGCTGTCACCGGTAGTATCGACTCGGCAGAGGAGGCTGTTGTTGCCCTCGGGGAGGATGGCGGACTGGCTGGGACGGACCCGTCGCTAGTCGAAGATCATATTCCAGCCGCCAGTGGCCCGGTGGAGGGGTCTCAAGGACAGTCCGCTCCCGATGTCAACTCCTCACTTCAGTCTGGGATAGAAGAGTCGGACGCTGATGACGGCTCACACGTCGTCAGTCTGTCAGATCTCATTTCCACCCACTGTCCTTCTGACTCTGAAGACGATGGCGACCGACCGGCTCCAGTTAATGCCCAGGATGCTACCTCAAGCGAGAATGCTACCACCGCGGCCGACAGGAGCGCTCAGGAAAGATCACTCAAACCTGCGAAAGACACCAAGGAAACCGTGTCACCCTGTCGAGACCTGTCGACGTTCGTGGAGCGGCACGGCGGCACAGTGCGAGCGCCGCCACCTCCGCCCGGGTCAGCGCCCGTGTCGGGGTCGGGGTCAGTGCCGCAACCGCCACTGCTGAGTGAGCGGAGTGCGGGGGCTGATACAACGACTGCCGTTCCTACTATAGGTGAGATTGGGGAGAGGGAGGGGGCTTTGGTGGTGGACAGCGGATGGAGATATCGGATTGATAGCAGGGTGTCAATCGCCGGAAGCATACTAACTTGGCTAGTTGTCAAGACTTGGTAAAGGGCTGGTATATTTCAGCCGACTCAAGTGGTTATTTTGCATGGGTGGAAATGGGAGTCTTTTAGCTTTATTATATCGATCGTTGACATTGGTATTGTTTCGCGGTTTCTTAGTGACTCCGGTCCGCTATTCTGCATATGCATTTGTTTGTGATCATATGTCTTTGCCATGACCTGTACAAACCACTCTCCCTCAGGCCCGTTCCTGCTGGCGCTGCTGGAGCGTCTGGACCGGGCCACCACCAACAGCCTGCAGCTGAACCTGCTGCTCATGTCGGTCATCAGCCGGCTGGCGCACTACCCGCAGCCGCTGCTGCGCTCCCTGCTGCTCAACCCCACACTCGTCTGCCAGCCCAGCGTACGGTCTCTCATTCAGGTTAGACTGCCAGACCAGCGTCTGCACTCCGCTCACCCATTCATGTGAGACCGAGCAAGATCTCATTCAGACGAGACTGCCATCTCGTGGCTCGGTGCCTCTTTCATGCGAGGTCGCCAGCGTTCGATAACAAGTCTCATTCATTCGTTATCGAACGACTGAACATACATATCAGTGCGCTCCCATGGGACTTTCAAATAGGTAAACTGGCCGGCAAACGGAGACCGCAGTTGTGGTTTGCAATGTCATAGCGACTGTGCATGGCTATTTTAGCATGTGTGTTGTGCCAGTCTCATGGTCCTGCGACGTTTTCACTCTACCGACAGACCCTGGGCAGTCTGAAGCACCGTATCGACCTGGCCACGCGCTCCGTTCAGGACGCCCCCGGCCTGGTGCGGTGGGCCCGCAGTAGACTGGAGGCGCGACCCGCAGCCGCCGGTGTCGCCGCCCCGGCCAGCCCCGGCTTGAGTCCGTCCCCTGCCTCCGGTCCCGGCTCCCTCCCCAGTCCCGTCCAGGGTCTGACCTCGGGTCCGGCCAGCCTGCCGGCGCAGCTGGGTGGCGCACAGACGGCGGCAGCTTCCTCAGAGGGTGAGTTCAGGTGGGTGGGGCTGGCAGTCGGTCAGTGGATGGGACGGAGATGGTGTTTGTCGTAACTTACTGGATTTAGTGTAACGGAAGTCGGCGTGGCGGTAATCTCTTGATGTTCAGATCCGGCGTTTAACGGAAGCGTTTGGATGTGGATTACACATCAAATTGAGGTAGACGTGCATCGTTAGAGCTCGTGTCATCAGTCTGTCGCCATGGCTTGTTGTGACCATGTTTTCTGCCTTCCGTACAGGTCATGCTATGTTCTGTTCTGACCCTCCTCTCTGCCTCTGTGCAGGCGACTCGGGCGGGTTCAGTCTGACTGGATTGGCCGGCCGGCTCCGGAGGGTGCTGCCTGCCGTCTCCCTGACTATGGAAAATAGCGACCAGCCGCGGCGGCGGCCCGCCGACATCATATCCAGGTTAGTGAACGGATGGCCCTAAGGCTGAACGGGAGACAAACAAACTTGACGCTAATCATAGGACATTGGGGGCACTGACTCAAACCGGGAACTCAGCAATGAGCGAGGGACTGATGGCGACCAAAATAGATAAACGTATCTTCTAATGTACGTTCATAACCGCATGAACGGATTTCACGGACGCATTGCTGTGCTTGGTTCAGCTTATGCTGTGCTTGGTTCAGCTTACGATGAGATACAAGTGAATAATCAATGTATCGCATAGTTATGTAACTCGTGAGTAGGCTTTATCTGTCATTGTTGTGGCTGCACTGTCGATTGTCGACTGGATGGCCGAATACCGCTGACTAAAGCGTGCCTCAGTGGGACGCGGCGATTACCTCAGTACCACCTGGCTGCACTGGCCCGCTTTCTCTGTGTGTTGATAGTGGTAACAGGATGTTGTGTTGTCGACTGGTGAGGTCGAGCTGGGTCCATGGTAACGCGCCCCCGAACCTACACATCCCCTCCCTGTGTCGTGGGCCAAGAGCGGCCCGAAGGGGATCCTGACCCGTCCTTCTGTCTACAAGACATCATTGGGTCAGGATCAAACCACATGGAACCCTAACCTCCTCTCTCCTTATGTGCACAGGACCTCAGTGAGCCGTGATCAAGCCAAATGGAACCCTAACCTCCTCTCCTTATGTCCACAGGACCTCAGTGGACCTAGTCCAGGCCCGAGTGGAACCCTGACCTCCCCCTCCCTCTGTTCACAGGACCTCTGTGGGCCCGGACCGGCCCGAGTGGGACGCCAGCGAGCGGCGCGTGGCGCTGACGGCCGTCCTGCTGGAGCAGTGGCTGGCAGAGCTGGCCGCCGTCGCCCTCGAACACAGCGTCGCCACCGACAGGCTAGTCTTCGCCTTCTGATGCGACGCAGACCGCTGCTTCAAAGACGCTTCCCGGCTAGTATTCAGGCGTGCATTTCGCTAGTTTATGCTGCGATTCGCGTCCAGGCTAGTTATTTCCCTCAAAACTTGCTTTTAGGCTTGTAGTTATCCTCTTCTGTTAGAACTATCACGCTAGATTTCGCGCTTTGGCCTGCTATAATTACGCTCTGATATGCCCCTGCGGTAGTAATTATCGTAGAAGGCCTGATCTCGCGCTGTATCGCAGCTAAATCCGTTGGCTGCTTTGTCTTTAATGCCGGTTTATCGTTCATCGGCTCATGAAGTCGAAACGCGTATCACGTTTCGTGTCAATCACACGGAAAGCTCGTATTCATCTTATTCATTTGGCGTAAGGTGGAAGCAACTTTGTTGCCATCAACTGCCGTTAGGTTAAAGTTTAACCTGGGATGATTTTTGCATAAGGGGCGAATATGCAGTTTTTTTAGCCTACACTTGACGGAGCCTGTGCAATGGCTAAAGACATTATGATTTGAAAGACAGCCTCGAGGCTTTCGCAAAAACAGCTCATTCCGAATAATTTTCCTAAAATTATTTACCAAGAGTGCGTCAATGCGTGGTGCAGTTGTCAGTAGAGACGAATGCTGAGCGAGCATGGTAAATGGATAATGTCCAGAGCAAGGTCCAGAGTATGTATAGCGCTACTTTAAAATCGTGGACTTTTTAACAATAGAAATATTAACGAAAGACTCCAAAAGGCTAGATTTTTGATTGAATACCGACATTATGCGACCTGACAGCCCTCTATGTAGGGCTAAGTACCTATTCAGACAAATATATGGTCGCTACATTACTTTCCAAGCTGCATTATGGACGTGATCGTATATATTTATTCCATCGTATGCAGGAAACAAGATACAAACAAGCGTGACTGGTAATTCAATTCGGATTATGTGTGCTCGTGTGTTCATAGCCTAGTCTTTACAAGCCAAATGTAACCAAACAAGGTATACTGCTTAGTGCTTATTTACCATTATGTGGGTTTAATGTGTTGTGTAAGCATATTATATAAGCCATGCTATCTACATAGACGCTACTGTCGGTATGAATATTGTTCGTATTGATCCAACGCATAATTCCGCATAATGAATTCCCATGATGTGAAATCATGCTAGATATCATGTGTTTCTGTCGTCCAAGGCGGACGAGCTATGCTTTAATCGTGTTGCATGCGTTAGTCGCTTGTATCGCATTGCTAGATGAAATTTGAACTACGAGACTACAAAGTGAGTACTGAGAAGTGACAACTTGGTGATACTGTCGGGTTTCGTCTCCAATGCCTTCCTCTGCTGTGATTTTATCGGTGTGTCACTGTTGATTCCACGGTAATATTGGGTACAATATCAATCATGGAAGTGTGTGTTTTCGTAGATGGGCCTCATCGAAGGTGCCATCTTAGCGATTAAGGGCGTTGCCGCAGTACTTTCCAGACAATCAGTGCAATCAATAATAATGACAGGCTTCGGATGCCAACACTACCAGTTCGTGACGTAGTCTGTCACGTGTTTGTGACTTGTCACGCGTTGATCACGTTTTCGAACGTCACGAGAATTGATGAAATGATGAGCTTGTTATGCGACCGTCAATATATGCATGCTGGCTGATTATGCAGGAAATGCGTTTCCGTTGCGCCGTTCGGCCGTGGGGAAGCGGATGATAAAAAAATCTGTTCAATGCTGATAATGAACCGGATGGAGATGCTGATGCCTGATTATTCATAATTTTGCATGCAAAAATATGTGCATTGTGCATGCTGCACTGCTCTGAAGTGCAGATCACCGACTTGTTGCCTCAAAGTTGGCTTCTTTTCCAGTCAATAAAAATAATTACGATTTGAGCATACGATTTATTTGTTCATACCTATATTGTTAACAAACGGAGACCTAAACACATTTATCACCACATCGCTGTATTCGTAGTCTTGTTTTGATAGGCCCTACTTGCCACTAGATATATAAATTATCGCATCTTTTCAACACAAAAAGCGGAAGCGTCCATCCCAGACGGGAATTGCATTCTTCAATAGTATAGTCACTTTCGGGGCATTCCACGTCAAGTGGGACAAAAAATGATCATTTTGAACCTCACCTCCTCCGATTTTTGTGAAACTTTGTGAAAATACTCATCTATATGTGAAAAGAAAGGAGACATATTTTTGTCAAGATATGACGTCACGTTTCCGAGATACACGTCATCAAACATTGACTTAGGCAAGGCACATTATCATCTTTAAGGCGCCATAACCATTGAAGTTTTAGACATATCACCACGAGACAAAGTGTGAAATGGAGGGGATAGGTCAGGCTTTAATTTGAGGATAACAAAATTGACGTCATTACCTAACTAATTAGTGAACTTAATTAAAATTCAAAACATAAATTTTGATTTTCTGAAAAATGGGTACCCTTCGATTTTGCTGATTTTTACATATTTTATCCTCCTACACATTGGCTACATCATATAAAAAATCCAGAATGGGCCGACGTCTACGTAACTGTCTTTTGGACTTCGTAATGTCTGGCACTCGCGTGTTTCGTTTTAGCAACCAAGGAGAGGCGCTACCCGGAGATGCTTCTTTCTACCCCAAACCAAAGCAAACCTAACCTGACCTGACGTGACCTGACCTAATGTAACACGCGTAAATATGTACAGCCCTCACGGTAGTTGCCGACTGGCCAAATGCTACCTAGATAGCATAGGCGGCGGAACGATTTGAGACAAGGGGGGGCACCATGGCTCAAGGAGCCAAACCTAGGGTACCCCCAAATCCAGTTTTCTCATCGGATTTAGGCCACTTATTTTTCGTCACAGCCCTGACACGATGATTTTTTTTTTTTTACTAAACGAAAATGGCAGTTCACCCCCGTATGCTGGGGTGTACCTAATTTTATATCTCTTTGTGGGAGCATATGCACCCACAATCCTGAATTATGCCCCCACAATGATGAAAAAGCACCCACAAGTCTTTTACAAGGCTGCAAGCGTCCTTTCGAGAGCACGGTGCCCTTCGCATGCTCTAACGGCGTCCTCCTGACCGTCTCGCGTTCATGGATAGCGTTTTTAATCACTCGGCGCCCTTCTGGGAGAATGGCGCACTTTTGACAGCACCGCGCCATTCTCATGGTCTAACGGCGCCCTCCTGACCGTCTCGCGTCCTTAGGTCTCTGTTCACCGTGCATCCCTCGACTATTCGGCGCCCTTCTGGCCTCTCAAGTCTCAGCGCCCCTGAACCACATATAGCGTTTTCAATCACTCGGCACCCTTTTACGAGAATGGCGCCCTTTTCATGATCTCAAGGCGACCTCGTAACCATCTGGCGCCCCCACGTCCCCACCAACGTAGCACTACTGACTGTGCGGCGCCCTTCTGGCCTCTTAGCGCCCCTAGACCACATAGCGTTTTCAATCACGCGGCGCCCTCCTAAGAGAATGGCGCCCTTTTCATCGTCTCACGGCGCCCTCGTAAGTCGTAACCGTCTGGCGCCTCCACATTTGGTGCCCCTCCTACTGGATGGCGCCTCTCTACATATTTTTTACGTCCTTCCGGTCAGTTTCCACTTTTAAGCGTGTATTTGCTTAGTCAGACACGTCACTTGAAGCGCCATTCGGCTAGCAATGTTATCAAATTCGGTGTTAATTTAGGCTCCCACATAAAGAATATCTATCGCGCCCCAAAACGGCCTGGCGCCGGGCGCCCCTACAGCTGGGCACCCACAATCATTTTAGGAAAATTACACCCCTGCCCGTATGTGTGGTTAACTTTAAGCTGATCCTCAAGTACCTATGTGTTTGTCTCTTCCTTATTGTCGTTTGATAAATTCCATTTATCCTACATGTATAATTCCCAAGAAGCAATCGCAGTACTAATCAGTGGCGAATCCCAGGGTGGAGGTCACATGGGTCATGACTTAGGGCCTGGGGTCACCACATGCCTGCCAGGAGCACCACAGGCCTGACAGCCGACAGGGGCACCACAGGCCCGCCAGGGGTGCCAAAGGCCTAGCAGGGGCACCACGGGCCTGTCAGTGGCACCACAGGCCTGTCAGGAGCACCATCGGCCTAGCAAAAGCACTACAGGTCTTCCAGGGGCACCACAGACCTGCCAGGGGCACCAGAGGCCTGTCAGGGACACTATCGGCTTCGCAGGGGAACCACCGGCTTCGCAAGGGCACCATGGGCCTGTCAAGGGCACCACAAGCCTGTCGTTGGCAATTTAGGATTGTCAGAGGCACCACAAACCTGTCAAGGGCACCTGCGTTCTAACAGGGGCACCACAAACCTGCCAAGGCCCAGAGACACCACAGGCCTAGCAAGGACACCACAGGCCTGTCAGGGGCACCACGGGCCTGTCAGAGCCCATGGGCACCTAAGTCATGTCAGGGCCCACCGTAGGCTTGTCAGGGGGCAGGGTAGGTAGGTACCACAGTCTTTCCAGGGGCACCAGCGGCTTAGCAGGGGCACCAGTCATCACATGACTAACCAAAAATAAAGAAAAAAAACTGAAAATAGGGCACCACCAAAATTAAGTGGCCGAAATCCGTTGAGGTTTTAATTTTGGGCATAGGTAGGGGCACCACTTCGATTCATGAACCTCCCCTTAGAGTTTTCCCGAATCCGCCCCTGGTACTAATACATCAAATTTAAGGGGGGGCACCTTGCTATTGGTGCCCCCCTTGCAGAATTCAAGGGGGGGCACGGTGCCCCGGTGCCCCCCCCGTTCCGCCGCCTATGCTAGATAGGTACGAACATTAGCCCTCGCGACAGTTGCCGGCTGGCCAGATGCTACTTAAAAAACAAATGCGTGTGTGTTAAACACTTAAAGCTGACCCGCTGCGAGCCAGCGGCCTTTAGATTTCGAGGTGGGTACACTCGGCACACTTACTACTAAGCCACAAAGATAGCTGGTCATCGTAAGCCAGTTTTTTAATGATGAAATTGGGCATTCTCCGGGTAGCGCCTCTCTTTGGTTGCAAAAAGAAAATACACCTGACTCTCCCAGCGCTAGGGGAGGTTTAGCCAAAAAAGGTATTAAAAAAAGGAATTTGAATTGTAGGTGGGGCAGTGAGGAACTTTATCGTGTGCCAATTTCATGGCCCTAGATCAATATATTCAAGATCAAATGAGGTTAAACGTAGGTAATCAAATTTGCTATAGTGACTATTTTGCGTTTATACGCCCATAGCTCTAAGAGACTCTGGCCGATTTTCCTATTTCTTCCTTTATACGACATTTGTAGTGTTATGAGAATCTCTAGTTAATCTTACCATAAATTTGGCAGTTTGTGGCTTGCTAAGAGTAAGATGTCGCCGGCAGAGGCGGTGATCGGCCGACGCGGGAAACGTCATAGTCACATATTGTGGTTGTACCCTAATCATTCAATTTTACCAGTTGATTTTCGTATTTATTTGAACATTATATTGCCTGTCATTTTAAAGCATTCACACAAAATTTGACACGAATCGATCATAATCAGCGGTAAGAAGCGCGGTGCAAAGATGGAACCGTCCCGCGCCGGCACAGTCTACCATTCAGGCGGCAACGGCCGGCGCCGGCCGCCGAGCCGCTCCGGCAGGAATGTTTGACGTTACACCGCTATTACTAGAAAAGTTGTGGACCGATTTACATATTTCTTGCACGGGAGGATTTCCAATTCGATTCTGGACAGATACTGAAAGTTTGACGTTAATATAATGATTATGGCGTGATTTATCGGCGATAAACAGGTGGAGTTAGCGAAATCGGCCCCTTCCACCGCCCGTGCTACGTTGCACTACCTACTTGTTGCTATATCATCCAAAGTTATCGTTGGCCCATTCTAATTTTCTCAGCACGTGTGCTTTACGTGTAGTGGAAGACAATATCTAAATTTGAGCAAAATCGAACGGTACCCATTTTTCACAAATTACATTTTCAGAAATTAATTCAAAATAAAATAAATTCGAAATCACCAAAAAATGTAAAAATTGTCAAATTTTACTAGCATAACTCCTTATGTACACGTTTCAGTTTGTTTGAAATGAATAGCTTCAAAAATGTTGAAGCTATAGAACTTTCAAGATTGCAATACACGTCCAATTCTGCTAAAAAAGCAGAAGTTTAGCGACTTGTATCTCTGTAGCCCGAGGGCATATGACAAAATCCTTTCACTCTCAGAGGTTTCACCCACTAGCCAATAAGTATACCAAGTTTGAACAAAATCGCAGAGGTGGCCGATTTTGGCTGTCCCGGTTGACATGGAATGCCCCTTTCCTGAGTCATTGGAGTCGCATGATAAGAATCGTGTGTAATGTTTGTCTTATTTGACGTAGGTGTAGTCGTACAGTCACCGTTCCCCAGAAGCGCGTCCTTTGAGGCTCGACTCTTGCCAGGCACAATCGGTCATGGCCAAAACGCTATCATGCTCATTGCTCGCCTTCCTCTGTTTACCTCTCCCTTGCAAGAGTCTTGGCAAGAGTAAGAGTCCTCCCGGCGTACTATCTGCTTGACCAAATCTCCCTTCTTACCTGTCCCGTTCTGTCTCTACCGTTTCTACCCATATTTAGCCCCTCCCGTCTAATTTAGACGATTGGATCTAGTCCGTTCCCCCATGGTGTCCCATTGTCCGTCCCACCGCCCGTCCCTCCGCCCGTCTTATTACCTTCCCACCACATCCGTTCAACTCGTATTACCTGGTACCGTGACGGCTAGCTCCGCCCCGCCGCCTCCCATTGGTCCAGCCCGGTGGTGTGGTCGGTGACGTCACATGGTGTGTGCGCGGTGACGTCACCGACGCCGGAAATTGACGGTGGATCAGGGCTCCGAGTTGCTATTCGTTCTTCTCTTCGCCAGCTATGGTTCTGCCGAGACCGAAATGACAGATTTAACCATGCTTGAGCCAAACGATCGGAATTTCGAAAATAGGACATAACCTAAATTGGCCTGACATGATCTGAATTGACCTGACACGAGACGACCTGAATTGACCTGACCCGACTTGAATTGGTTGTTACTGACAGCTCCGTCCTGGCTCGACCTGGTGAGGCCTGACCTGACCTTATATAGCCTGACCTGACATAAACTAGGTTGACGTGAGGTGGGCTGACATGACCTGACCCTACATAAGCTAACTCGACCTGATATGGAACTGACATGACCGGGCTTTGATTTGCCGTCATATGAGGTAAGTCTTGGGCAGGATGACCCTGGTTTCATGGTGACCTTGGACCCTCGATGACCTCATTTCACACCGGGCTATCACACGGAAACAGTCGAAGCTCACACTACGATGCGTGCGGATGGTGTGTAAATGTTCAAGGACCTCACGTTGCATAATGAGCACTGATCCAGTGGATAGTTACCTCTGTGTTGGGTCTTATCTCCTCATCGCAAGTACTCGCTCCCTAGAAATGGGCAAATGGGGTATCTCATATGTTCATCAGGTAGTTGCGTTCTCCATTTAACATTTCACATACAAGAGTATATTCGTTATTGCTTGAAGCCTTTTCTCGACATATCACAGGTTAGTACCGGCTACAGGCAAATCTTTTTCTGGGCTAGGATATCATTGGGCTAGGTGTGCTCGGTTATCATTTCTGGACTGATCACTTTCTTAGAAAAAGTGGGATGCGGGGTGAACACGAGGTGTTCAGCAACCATAGGTTAATCTTTTTCATAAAGAATGACATAGCTCGCTAGCCTAAGGTTTTGAATTTTATATGACCTTTTCCTTGGTCAAGGTCATTTATTTGCTTATTTATGTAATTACCGACATATGAAAAAGTCTTCAAACAACAGGTGAAGTCAAATTAAATCGATGCATAAGTACATACTTCAACGTTATCACAAGATTGACAAACTTATTTTTACTTAGCACTGTAGTTCACTACCTGCCTTTCCATATGCCTTGATTTCATGCGTTGGTGACAGGCTTATAGAAATGTAGAAATACGAGTTGCATACTCTATAGTCGGGGAATGCGACAGACACGCGCAGTAATACCCTGGCCTCGCAGATAAAGCCATCCCTCTCGCCCGGTGGCCATACCAGGGGCGTTGACCGATGCGTAACAGATGCGTCGACTGACCGCTGCCAGCGAGCAGCCGTTACGTTAATTCCGGGCCACACGTGTGCTACCTGTTGCCTAACCCTTCCCTCGTGTACCGATGCTGACCACAGGGAGCAGGTGTCTACCCACTGCCCGGATTTTTGGCACCGTTTGACGGCGCTGACAGGACCTCTCCGTGCTGACCGATGCACCACATCGTGCAGTGGCGTGATCGTTTGGATCACTGAGGTCTGCGATGTGCCCTGTCGGTTAGAATACGATGGAAGGGAGGTGATCGATTGCTGAGGGAGTGGAGAGAAGTGAGCTCACCTGACCCCTGATATGACCCCTGACCCAGAGGTCACCAGCCCAGTACCCTCGCCCTGTCCATCGCGCTGTGACAGCTACCTGACAGACCGTGACAGGACGGTGACAGCGCCGCCCGTGCAAAGCTGTAACGCTGTACTGTACCACAGCTCACTGCTGTACACCTAGGTATTGTATGGCTAGCTCCATAGTCCATACTACCGCTGTGGTTTTGATATAATTCTCGTTTTGATGAAGGCAGATACACAGTTCAATAAAGTCGAATCTGCCTTTCGCTGTTGAATCATAATAAATCTTCACTTTTCCTTTATCCTTTCGCTCTGTCGTACTCAGACTACCATACTCTGATGTTTCGCCCTACTTTGGCGTACCCTGTAACCCTGAAGTACCCCATAACCTTGAATGTCGTACCCTGTACATCCGCAGTGTCATAGGTACTGCCGTTTCTATGTCGGGTCATCGCTTAATTTCATGCATCTTTACGTTTGCAATGCCCTCAATACAGACAACAGTTATGAATTAACCGATCTATAACCGATCTATAGTGTCGTCTGCATGGGCGCCTCTACCCTAGCGCGACCGCCGGGGACCCTGCCCTGGCTGTCGTTCCTACCAGGCCGACGGACGGACGGACGGGTGAGTCGGCGCGGCGGTCAGTCGGGCACTGCACGTGGCTGCGACGGGTGCGGTGCTCCGGGCCGCTCTGACGGCGACGGCACGTGCAGGGGCAGAGGTGCGGAGGGAGGGCTGAGGAAAGGTGTGAGGGAGAGAGAGAGTGTAGTTAAGTTCGGACAGCAGCGGACGGTTTGCCAGGTATGTAGTTGGATTTCTTCTGTGGACCGCTTCCGTAATCTGGTGTCCGGTGTGACAACAACGGTATTGCACTTACGGCACCAGTCGGGGTGCCGTTTGGATTGGAGAAACAAGCCAAGTGGCGTGCGCAAGACCATCTTCGAGAAGCGTGTTTCACGTTTGATACCATATCCTGCCTGCACGTCTTTCTTGGAGACTTCTTTTCTACGACGGGTTGAATAAATAATCCGTTTGAGCTGAGAGCACTTGTCTCATTCGTTGTTAGTTGGGCGGCACAGCCATCGAGAGCCAGCAAAGTTTTCAGTATGACCAGCTCCTGTGGAAGATCCTGCGGTCTACTGCCGCTGCCGCTGGGACTTCAACTACTTCTGGTGCTGTTTCTCTGCCTGGTGCCCTCTGTAGCTCCCGCCGGCACGTGTAAGTACTCGCCGCTGTCAGCGCTGGCCCACCGTATAGGTCACGGCGCCCCGCACCGTTCACGTTGATTCACACCTGCCCATTGTGCATCTATTGGTTACGTCCCCACACAGCTCACGGCCCCTTACCTAGACAGGTCACAATGCGTTATGACCCTTACCCTGGCACTGTTCTTCGGGTCCGGACGTTCCTATGTCGCTCCCATGATGCCGGTGGCAGTGGGCTCGTAAGCTACCAGTAAGTATTAGCCGAAATTCAAATCGTGAGCTCGCTATAGCCGCTTGGCTGGCTTCCTGTCAAATTCCCATGTCACTAACTGTCCAAACAGGCCTTGGCGTCATCTGCCTTGGCGTCAACTGTACTCCGTCTATTCCCTGATTTTTAAGTCAGGCGTCTGATCTGGCTCCGTTGATTTTATTTCCGACACCGCTAATTAGCGCCGGCCCCGACGGACGATTCCGGCGCTCATTTAGACCCCTCCCCTCCCCGTCCGGTCCCTCCCGTACGAGCACGGCCGTCTGGTTGGAATGGGGGCGTGTCGGGCCGGTCAAATCGGTCGGTAATTACCGGCTCGGCTGCAGCGGACGGCCCCGGCGGTGGCCCGGGGTGTCTCAGAGGAACCCTCCCAGCCACTAAGGCCGTCCGTGCCCATCAAGGCTGTCTGCAGTGGGCTGAGTACCCAGGCGAGAGTAGTGCAGCCAGACCCAATTACTCATCGACATGAGACGAGAAACCGCTCATCTTCAGCAGCAAAAACGCGGCTAGTTCAGTTTCCAGTACCCACACCGCCCTCGGCCTTACACACTGGCGTTTGCAGCCCGCATAACACAGATGTCTTCTTCACTCTCCGTAGATTGCTAAACGATTGCACTGCTCATGATAGAAACTTTCAGCCTTTTATGCATTCATTTGCTTCAAACGTGCAGTTATGGCCTTACGTAGTCGCAATGCTCGCTGCTGGTTCAAATGTCACGGCCGTCCACTGAAAGGTTATCCCTCTGTGACCGACGCGACGGTGAGCTCGGCCCGGTCCTGTCTGTTGATGTATGCCTGTATGTCTGTGTGCTCCAGCTATACCCTCCGGTCTTCACTGTTCCAGCTGAACACTAAACACCGGTGGTGTCTGTATGCCTGTATTATATGCGTCCCTGTGTCTTCCAGCACTACTCTCTGGCGTGCAATGTTCCACCTGTAACACACTCGGACCAGTAGCCGTGGCTCTGGTCCGTATGACGCATTCTGTGGCGATTCTGCGTGGCCAGGCGCTCTCTGCCTGTCGGTTGTTACCAGTCACAGAGACGGTGTGCCGCGGCTTCATCGACAACTGGGCGGTACGTACGGAGTTACGGATGGACGGACGGACGGACGGACGGATGGACGGACCGATCGACAGACGTACGGGCGGACGGGTGGATAAACTCACTTGATTAGGTAGACAGTTGAATGAATGGTTGGATGCGGATTTTTTCCGTCAATCCGTGATCCGTTTATATGGATGTAAGAATGGACAGCTAGAGAGAACGAATGGACCGACGGATAGATGGATGGACTGCTGCTCATGTCCGATATCCCGTACGAATTGTTTACCGAATCCCTAGCATTGCTTATCTCAGTTGAGTCGTGCTTGGATGGGTGAATGGATGGACGGATAGGTTTATGCCTAAACATTTTGTTTCGAAATGAAAACGAAGTGTTACATTTACAGGGTGTCCGGAAAGTCCTGGCGCTTCTTTTGGACGCCGTGTAACGCGCGCTGTGATTATTGGACATTCAGCCAATCATCACAGACATGACCCCTCGTTGATTGCTCAGCCAGGGGTCGTGTAAATATGACCTTGAAATCGTTTTCAGTGATGGGTAGATGGGCGAAGATGCGCCTTGTCGCTGAATGCCTGCGCGCGGCGGCCGGGTGCGACTTGAACGAGGCGCGAGTTGCAGCGCGATGCGGCGTTTTTCGATGAATGGTTTAGCAGGTTAAGGTTTATTTCGACTCGGGAATTCCTTAAAAAATATCCTCAGACCGTTTCGAACGCGATATGGGAACGGAGCAGCATTTCAACGCGGCAATCGAAGAAAGTGCGGGGGTCTGATGGACAAAAATGTCCCATCATCTTCGTCAATGTCGAATAAATGAATAACAGGCTGGCCCACGAGGGGTTCCTGGACAGCCACATCAACCCGAGGGTCAAGACGACATGCCCTAAGGGTCACTTCGCATTTCAACAGCACAGAGCACCCTCCAACAACGCCGCCGCCATTCAAGCTAAACTGACAGACGGGCCAGATCACCGTGGCGAAATGAGATTAGGCCGCCTTATTCTCCTAACCTGACCCGCTCGACTAAGGCGTGCTACGCGTTTTGTAGAACAGGATCTAGGCCATTTCTCACCCCAACCTGGAGTCGCTGAAGACTCGCATCATGACAGCATGGGAGGACCTGGAAATGCCCCGCATCGTCAAAACCCGCAGACGCTTCCTCCCCTACGTCGAGGCCGTCGTCGGCGCCGACGGTGGTTACATTGAATGAGCACGTAGCGGAAGCATGTGGCTTGGTGTCCCTGGTCATTGTTTTGATCCATTGATTAGTATCTATGAACCAATGGCATTTGTTTTAGAAAATGTTGAAAAGCGCCAGAACTATCCGGACACCCTGTACGCATTGCCAGATTAGTATCTTAAATAATATAACATGTATCAATAGAACAAAAATGTGTTTACATTAACATTAACAAATTGTTCACTCGCCCCTGCCGACCGCCAGGAGAGTGTGGAATACATCCTGCTGCACACGAAGCTGACTCCTGCCCAGATGTGTCGCATCTTCCTGCCGTCCTGTCCAGCAGAGAAGGGTCTGAAGCTGGATGTGACGCTTGACCTGCCGCGGCCGCCGCCGGCCAGCCGCGCTAAGCGACGTGACGCCCATTATCCGGTGAGACGGCGGGGTCACGGAGGTAGTAGGCGAGGGGATAAACTATGATGAGAAGGGGCGAGATGAAGTACTCACTCGTACTCATGGAGCTGGAAAGTGGAAGCTTGGAATCGTTTTGAACTGCACTGATCTTGCTTCGTACCGCGCTCATCTCTGGTCGGGCTTTAACGTATGTATGTATTTTACGCTAAGGTACTTTGGCTGTTATTTGCAATGATGCATCCATGACGGATCTTACCTGTCCGTGGTGTACTGCAGCCTCCGTCCATCCCCGGATCTGAAGGTACTGCACCTGACTGACCTGACCTAACCGTACCTGATTTGACGGCTGACCTGCCTGCTGCTCCTCCGCCAGCCTCCGTCCACGCCCGGTCTGAAGGTACTGCACCTGGCCGATATCCATCTGGACGTTCACTACAAGGAGGGAGCCGATAACGGCTGTGACGACCCGCTCTGCTGCCGAGCCGAGAATGGTGAGAGAGGAAGGAACGGGTTAAATGAGGATGGGTTCGGACTAAGGGCGGAGCGGTACGGTGTTATATTTTGTGGGATATTTTGCGAGGTTGTTAAACAGAGGGTAAATAAAATGATTAGATGTTTCGAACGAATATGCGAAAGATGAGACAAATGCGGAGCAGTCAAGTAACTAATGTACAAAAGTCGGCTGCACACTGGATTATTGCTTTACTAATCCAACATCGACCTGAATTTTTGAAGTGCTGTTTGCATTGCCTTTCGTCCCCTCCACACAGTCACCGACCCTCATTCTATTGGAAAACTGCAGCGGTCCAGTCCGGCACATTGTCACCGTGATTCCGTGTCACGAGCCCCGCCGTGACGTCGAGTCACGTCGTGCCGACCGGGGCCGGCAGGATGTACCGTGATGGTGCGGAGCCGGGGCTGATAGAGAGCGGCGGGGTGGGTCAGTCACCGGCAGTCAACCCCGGGCGGTAAGGGCACCGGCTGTTTTGTAACGGGGTGGAGAGGAGGGGAGGGACGTGGTATTCTTATACTGCCACAGTGGCGGGGAGGAGCTATGCTGTGGGCGTTGAGTTAGTGAGCGATAAAAATCCGAAAATTCTGAAAGGGTAGACGAAGACACCACGAGTTTTGAGTTTGGATGAAGAGAAATTCACGACCTAGCGACATGTCAGGCATAGCGGATTCCACGACGGCCTGGTGCATTTCAAACCGGTCATGGACAGATCATTGCGGCGTATTCTGGTCAGTTTTACAGAAGCATGGTCACCGTTGGATGACCGTCCTACGTACATACATACATACACATTGCTAGCGAGTCGACATTTGCCGTGAACCGAAACCACCGGTTGGGGCTCCGAGGGGGGTTGGGGGGGGGGGGATTGGCACCAAGAGGGACGAGGGGCTCACACCACTTCGATGTACAAATTTCCAATGGGGAGCGCTGGCGTGACATTCTCCGTCTCAGAGAGGCATCGGAATTCGTCAAAGACTCAAATGGCTGACTCATTGGAAGCGTCACGAGACGATGTACTGTCCAGAAGTTATGTAAATGGTTCGAGTTTATCGTACCACCAGACGCGTCATCCGTGAGCTGGATACGTCCCGTCTGGTTCTGGAAATGGTGACGCGTTTTATAACACACGAGGTCCGATATGTGCGTCACGCCACACGTTAGATATCCCTCCAAACATCTGCTTCTCACGGTGTTTGATGGCCGCGTTACCCAGATCTGGCGGCCTTGATGGTCCGGCGCGTACGTCCGCCTTGGTGAAGTTCATTCATGCCACGTCGTTTGGATGATCGGAGCGACGGCTGGCCAATCAGCTGGAAAATGTAACGCGGACCGCAGACGGCTGGCCTTCTATCGCGAATGGTTTTACGTAGACTGCCGGAAATACGAGGGATAGGGAGTAGAGACGATCGTCCACCGTGAACGGTAGGGAGACCGCCCGCGTGAACTGTCGTGGACCAAGGTCACGGAGCCTGACCTACTGATTCACTTTACTGGAAAGACGCGTAAGCATCGGACCACGATCTCGCAGAGCGACGCAAATCGCTCTCAGCGGTTCCTCGTTCCTGTGTTACTTCACGCGAGTTATGTAATTTTACCAAAAACAAAACTTATTAAATAAGTTTTTTTATGTTTTTAAGGCATTTTTTAAAGGCATAAGTATGGTTTTTATGTCTCATGATGCTTCTGTCCTTACTTAGCATGCTGACCTCCGTTTTTAAGTTTTCCGATCGTTCACGTACCGCTCCCGTATTTTATGTCGGACTGCCGATCCTTCCATATCCACATGTCAAATGATTACCCACCCTGCGATACCCATGTGTCATATGACGCTACGCCTTCCGTCACCCACATGTCACGTGACCGTGTGCTCCGGCAGGGTTTCCGAAGGAGCGCTCTCGCCAGGCCGCCCACTGGGGAGAATATCGCTGTGATGCTCCGCCCCGCCTCCTGCACTCCCTGATAGATCACGTCGCCCGCAAACATAAGGTAAGTGTTTGTTTACATGTTTATTCCTGACGTTTGGTTCTAATTTTTACATTTTAGCTATCGTTAACAAAAATGATGTGCATTCGTGACCTGTTACATTATTGTTGATAGCAACAGAATTGTCTTGGACGTTTTTTTCCGTGCGCGTTGGAAAGCAGTTTCAATCTGGCGTCGGAACTGGTCACACTGGCACCACGCTGTCACCACGCTGCTGTCACCATGCTGGCACCAATAACCGCTGGTGGTGTGACCGTCTCTGAGGGAAGGGGGTAGAGGGGACGGTCAGCCGGAGACAGGGAGAGGGGTGACGGTGACCTCCACTGGACCCCTCCCCCACCGCTCACAGGCCAACCCTGCAAACCGAATGTGTCCCCGGGGTCCGGTGGTAAAACTGCACCGTGTTCAGCTCGCCGTCGGCCGTCTCTAAGCCACTTGCAGGCAGGGTCAGACGGGCTGATTGTCGGGTAAAACTGACCAGACGGTGGAACGAGGGAGGGCCAAGGACGCGCCCTGAATGGCGCCAGGACGGGAGGGACGGAAACCCGGGAGGGAGGGCTGTCCTCCGACTGCAATAAGGTTTTCTTATGGACATGTATGTACCCAGTGAACTTCACGGTGACCCCGCCGCTGTCTGGCCGGCGCGGCGGGAAACGTGACGGTGGAAGAATGCAGATGATGCGTCCGGACTGCAGCTTGGGGCGGCCTGGAGTTGCTCGAACGCGGCAGCAGGGGAGGGATCCGGGGCAGCGGCCCAGGAAACGTATCAAGGACTTACAACATGCAACGCTGTCTTCAAACATGGCATGAAATCAATTAGAATGAATGGCAGGAGGGTCAATGAGCTTACCGAGGCAACCATCTTTCTTCAGTTTCTTTTCTATATCACTGTTAAACCTAAACTGTTTATGTAAAAGACGTACAAATTTAAGAGCATTCGTTTCTCTCACGCACACTCTTTTCCCCCTTTCTCCCTCTCCCTGTCCACCTCTCTCCCTCCCTGTCTGACAGTCCCCTCTCCCCTCGACAGGATGAGCTCTCATACGTTTTATGGACTGGCGACACGGCTCCCCACGACAGCTGGAAGACCACCAGAAAGGACGTGCTCGATCTCACGGCCCGTGTGACGTCATTGTTACGTCATAAACTGGCCGGCGTGCCCGTCTACCCGGTGATCGGCAACCACGACAGTGCGCCCACGAATTAGTGAGTGGGGAACACGGAACGGTGTTTCGAAGGGAGGGGGGGGGGGGGTCAAGATACATTGTAATAAATCATTTACAGTATGTACCATTGGCTTTGTGTGCCAGGAAAACTAAAATGTTGCTTTTTATTTTTCATGCAAGCCGAAGCTTGGCACATAGCTTTTTATTCTGCCGGATGAAATATGATTCGCATTACGACTAGGCGTGAAATCTTATCTTTCTGCATGCATGTGGTGCTTTTATTGCCGTTTGTTCATTGAATGCGCTATCAGCACAGCTTAAATCGACGCCATGAAATCACGATAGTCAACCCCACCCTCATGACGTGTCAGTGAGTGTGACGTAATCGCGTGGTCATCACGCCACCTCTCCATCCCTCCCTCCCTCCCTCCCTCTCACTATCCCTGCCTACTCCCCCTCCCCCTTGTGTCTCCATTCTTCTGTTTGCGATGATAGGAGCACCGCCCATCTCCCTAGTCCTGAATGGTGTTTTGTTGGCTATCTTTGCCGCCTCAATGCAGCGATATATGTAGCGAGTGTCATGTAAGTATTCAGGACATTGTCGACCATCATTGCTGATCAAGCTGAATTACTGTTGAGTCTGAGTTAAGCTAACTGTCGGCCCTTGTTCTCTCCAGTTTCCCGCCGTCCGAGGTTCGTAAAGGCAACTTCAGCGTGTCCTGGCTGTACCACGACTATGCCAAGATGTGGAAACACTGGCTTCCCGCTGATGCACGTAAGGCCTCCCGTTATTATTTGCCTTCATCCATGTTATTTGCTAAGTCGCAGGTTTCGTGTTTCGGTGTACGGATAATCTTCTTCTAGTATTCCTAATGTTTCATTTCCATCTATATTCTGTTACTGTTACGTCATATACTAATTTGTATTGCATCGTTCTTCAATAATTTACGTGGCTCGTACTTGGCCAAAATAGTGCGACAGGGACTTTTCATTTTACGATGAAATTGTTAATGACCAGCCCTCATGAACCGATCTACATAGTAGTGCAAGATGTAACTGAGTGTTTAATCTGCATAAACCGTCCCATACGAGTCTACAGCTCATTGACTCATGTGTTTGAACCGTTAACTGGTATCAGTGATCGGAAAAGTGACCAAGCTTTTCTGACCTTTCATTCAGTGGCCACGCTACGCAAGGCAGGCTTCTACTCTGTCCTCGTTCGTCCCGGCTTCAGAATCATCGTGCTGAATACGAACGTGGCCTACCGCTTCAACTTGTGAGTACGACGGGTATTTGGGTTTAGTGGTGTGTCGATTTCTAAGATCGCCTTATTAGCTGCTGATGGGTTCCGGCACGTTGCATAATTCCAGTCTCTGTTACCATCTATTATTGTATCCCGATAAGCGCGTGAAATGGTTAGTGTAGACTGAATCCCAGCTTGTCTCTTTGCCATTTTGCTCAGGATCAATCTCTGGCATGTGTACCATTTGACCTACCCGTGATATAGCTTCCCATTACGTTATTATGTTACTTTTGGGACAGACCTGTCGGAAGCTGTTCTTCCGGACTTTCTGCTGTTAAGGTAGATACCACTGACCGCTTCTGACCTCTCCCCTTCCCTCAGATACTGCTGGCCGCTTCTGACCTCGCTCATCCGGTTGTATACTGCTGACCGATACAGACCCCTCCTTCCCACCCACCCACGTAGACTGACCCTCCCCTCCCTTTCAGATGGGTGCTGTTGACGGCCACCTCGGACCCGCACCACCAGCTCAAGTGGCTGGCCGGTGAACTACGTGCGGCACGTGCCGCCGGCGAGCGGTGCCACGTGGTGGGGCACGTGTCGCCGGCCGACCCGGACATCCTGCCCGGCTGGAGCCACCTCTACCACTCCGTCATACGCAGGTGGGTGCCAGGACGACTCTTCAGGAGGCTGGCTGTGGATTGTTAGCGACCTCAGAGTGCGACTGGTCCGAGGAGCGGGCGAACAGACTTAATGTGTTTTTTTTTCATACAGCTCAGACTCCTACATTGCGGTGCTTTTGTGTTACTCAACTCTAGAGGTAGTGCTTAAGGGCTTGCTCTTGTACGATCAGATGGGCAAACGGAATTGGTCCGCTGCACTGCTAGTGACGCTGTTACCTAGATATTAATTAACTGTTCGTGGACCAGATGAAATCCCACGGTAATTCATTTCTCATCTTGTTTTATGCGTATTTCCAGTTACCAGGACGTGGTGACGGCCCAGTTTTTCTCTCACACCCATCTGAACGAGATCCAGCTCTACAAGGACGACCGGGATCGGCCATTCTCCGTGTCGTACGTGGCGCCCTCTCTGACACCGTGGCAGAACGTGAACCCCGGCTACCGGATCTACACGATAGATGGCGACAGGGGAAACCGCTCCTCATGGGTGAGTTGACGCTACGAACGCCGCTGCTAAGATTGTAAGGCTTTGCTCTCAAAGTCGGAAAATACTTCTAGCCAAAGCGATTGAGGACTCAAGAATAAAATCATATACGTGCAGTACTTTTTAATCCATTCGTGTCTCATTCTAATGGGTTGAATGGATGCCTGCAGCCTGCTGAAAGGAATTCGTGTGGAATTCGTGATGTTGGCAGAGATGAGCTAGCCTCTGTGTTTGATCTCACCTGTGACATCCACCGTTCCGTGTTTCTATCCTCAGGATACTGAAATCCTTCTCCCCCACGCCGCAAACCCCCTCCGGGCTGGACAGGCAACTTTATCTCATGCGGGCTGCTCCCTTGGAGCGGCATCGCTGCTCCTGAGGGAGCGCACCCCGTAGCCGGGTACAGTGAGTGCCTTGGGGCTGGGTGGCCCCCTATATCCTAGCATCCTCCCGGCTCTGAAATGGTCTAATTGGACCGAAAGGGCCTAACCCAACAAAATAATAAAAATAATAATAATAAATAACCTGTGACATGACCCAGGTTTCAAATAACCCACCCTCCGTGCCACAGGAGGTGATAGACTACGAGCGCTGGGTGGCTGACCTGGCCGAGGCCAACGAGCGTCCCGAGAAGGGACCGCGCTGGCACCTCCAGATGTCGGCCGCCGCCCGGTACCGCCTAAAGAACCTCTCACCCAGACGGTGGAGCCGCATGGTGAAAAAGATGCTCGTCTATGGACGGAAATTCGACAAATATTACAGGTACAGGTCGAGTGATCGCCTCTATACCAGATTCCTTTTCAGTGTCGTAGTAAACACTTGTTAGCTTGTAAATGTTGGCCATTAGTCTACCTATGTGACACTCCTTCCGACCTTTGCATCATGACCCAACCAGTAAAGAAGGCAGCGCTGTTGCTCTCAGTTATATGACCCTGACCTTTCTTGACCTTTACGTGACTCATGTCCCTGACCTATGACCTTTGCACCTGACCTGTGACCTGACTTGCGCCCCGTTGCCGGCAGTGACCTGAGCGGCGCGGCCTCGGTGGTGGGTCCGTGCGACATCGAGTGCCGGATACGGACCGTATGTGGTGTGGTGAGTTCGGACGGCACCAACTCTCACCACTGTCGGCTGGTGAGACTGCTCTACCAGATGGGCACCGCCGCAGGACTCAGCTGAGTGCACCGCGGCACCAGGGGTGGTGCCCTGTTCACCAGCGCATGTGCACACATGGAACTAACTGACCGTGTCGCCATGACAACGGCGATCCGGTCAGTCGACCAAACGAGACCTACAAACTGACACTGACTTGGCTGTCTTCCATCGATCGTAAATAAGAAATGTTAGCTTCGAGACTCGTATGAAAGAGACTCGTTTGTTTTACATATTTCACTTTTCATTCGTAACACACCTTGTTCAACCATTTCGTTCCGAGTCACCCCACGGATAATCCGTGTGCGCGGCTATGCGTATGTAGGTACTGCGTTTCGTCCCTCATGCCTCCGCCTGGTGACCCGGCCTCGGAGCCGAGGCGCGGCCGCAGTACAGGTGGTTCTTCCCACGCGCAGACGGACCACGCACGCACCAATATCACGTGATGTGAGTGATTTTCCAATTGGAGAGTGACTGATGGTCATCTGCCTTGGAGCTGTGGGGTCGAGAGATGTTTCCTGATGTGTTTTCAGTTGGTATTTATTGGTAACTTTTAGGCGTTTGATGTGGGAGCTCTACATAATATCTTGCATATTTATAATTAGCATAGTTAATAACGTGAAATGATGTGAAAACAAAGCAGGTAAGCGATGCTCGTATGAAAGTAACCGAAGCATTGTAAGTCAATAGAAGGCTGGAAACTGCCGATTTGCTTGGATAAATCGCGTTTCATCTTATTGCGATACATTTTTTTCTATAATATGTAGCTTTTAGCTAAAGAAACCGCAAGTTTGGTCATACGGTATTCACATTTTAATGGATTGTAAGTGCTCCTTTTCCGGAATATTATATTCCCATCGTGTCGAGTGTAAGTATCAGCTACTGCCGAGCCCAGTCCTGCTGCCTCGTGAGAGCGTTCCCGTGCAGGTCAGGTGTGTTGCTAGAGCCGGTCCCACCGTGCACAAAAGGGGAACACCCCGGCAGGACGGTGGCACCGGCAACGCTCCCTGGCTGCTCGGTATGAGAACGGAGGGTCTGGCAGTCCCTGGGACCACAGCGACTGCCGTTTGCGCCTTGTTCAACCGCTAAAAACGATATTTCGGAGAGTGAAACAGTTTGTGGTTCAATGTCAACGCATTGATAGATCTAGAAATGTGACAATGGCTGTTTGACGTGCGAAGGAATTAAACACTGACATAGTGACGTGATGTACCTCCCGGATGCAGCGATGGGAAAGTAGCATGCCGTCCGATACCGATTCTGTCTTCCCGTCATCAGTCACGTCATCGTCACCTGTAAGATAGCATAGTTCTAAGCATTTCGACCGCCTTTATTGGCCCGGAAATAGCACAGCCCGCCCAACACTGTGCAGGTTTGCGAACTCTAGTAATGGGTCGTATCGATCCTCTATTCTTGCTCGTTTAGGTGTTTTTTACACACTTTTTGTCAGTGCATATTGGGTGCATAATATTATCAAATACACGCGATCGCCATACTATGTTACTTTGTGTTCATTTTATGGCTGGTGGGGTTTTCATTGATGATGTGGTTTTGTTACCCTCTTGCTCCGGCTTTATATCTAGGAGTGGTTGAATGGACTGACTTGATGGGATGCCATGGGTGTCTACTGTCAGTTTTAAAGCACTCAACACAATTTTGTACCTTATTTTAAATACAGAAATAATAGAAACGTTCACGAGCCGTACAATTACCGTAAGATTTGCTCGGCGTGCCGCCCGGATATGTCTGTGGGAAAATGACACGCACAGTTTGATAAGGTTGCTGACTGCCTCGCTTCCCTGTCACCACACGCCGAGCCAAAAATCTACAGCCAGACGTCATGGCCCACCTCCGAGTGATGACCATATTGTAAAGACTACAGCCAGTGAAACATCACGACTGGGTAAGCGGTCAACAAGACGTGTATGGAAGGGAAAAGAGAGAGGGAGGATGGGAGGGAGAGAGAGAGAGAGAGAGAGAGAGAGAGAGAGAGAGAGAGAGAGAGAGAGAGAGAGAGAGAGAGAGACGACCGAAGAAAAAAAAAGGACGAGAGCCAAATCATAGTCGCTGACAATCGGAGGTTTCAGCTCCCTACCTTCAGTTCGATGGTTCGATCGGACCATGTCAGGTCGAACCATGTTAGGCCGGGCCGGATCAGACCGGGCCAGGGGACCTCAGAGCGCCGGGACGTCAGGTGGTCTGTTCCCACCGGTCCCGGGCGGTCCCTGTGACGGGACCGGCACGTCACAGAGGTACCGTCACTCGCGGTGGAAACCTCGGCAGAGCAGCACGGTACCTCAGCCACAGCGCGCGTCACTAACATGGAACTCGTCTCAGGTGAGATGCTCGGGCTGAATCTATATTACTATTTGTGGTGACGTAGTTTCTGTCTATTACGAAGGTCGCGACATGGTGCTACGTAGCGCGGGTTACAGGTCACACCGTTGCACTGCACCTACCGCGCTGAAGTTTGCGCAACTCATAGAACAAGGATGGACAACGTGCCTTTGATGGGTCTCAGCTCGATCGGATCGATAGCGAGCGCGTGGCGCGTGCCCAAAAAGTGCAAATTCGCGTCATAGACTTTACATGTATTAATCGGCTGGCAAAAACGGGCGAAAACAGCCAAATTTGCCCGACACGGGTCCGGTCCCGGTGCAATATCTCGGTAACCGTGGGCCCGACCGGTACGGGGAAAAGAGCATCGTGTAGAGAATCGAACGGGCTATCGAATGGTGTGCGGTGCAGGGGTTGGCACGCGCCACGTGCACCGGGGAGGACACTTTCTTTTGAAAAATGGACGTTTTGGACGGATTTTGGAATTTATATTAAGTTCAGGTGATCGTCAGACGGAATGAGTTGAAACAGCGCCTATTAGCAATAAAAATGTACTGTCTCTCATGGAAAAATTGTGAAAAGCTAATTGATCAAAAACAATGTGGAAAAAATCGCTGAATTAAATGGTATTTGTCCAAAATGTGCCACTAAATAATTACACGGATTTTGCTGCTTAACCTGATATGTTTGACAATTGAAAATGCTATCATTGGAAAGAGCATTCAATTCTCTCCAAGATCGAATCATCACGTTTGCATGACAAGCAACAGTATTCTTAAAAATATAAATGTTTCAAACCTCTGCAAAACGATTTTTAGTGAAAATTATCTACGCCTTTAATTTGTCATAAAACTACGCGCCTAAATTATAAAGCACATTTGACAAATTCTGAAGTGGAAAGCATGCTTATCAGACACGGGCACCTCGATGCGGTGGATATTTTTTCCAAACCAAAACGTTTAGCCGTCAAAAAGCAATCGACCGAAATGGATAGATAACCCAACCGACACAAGAACAACCAAACACCCGCCGATCGAAAATACCCCTTTTCGCGTTGCGGAGCACGCGGGTCACCCTAGTATTACCCATTGACAGCTTTCAGTACCCGTCGTAAAGTCAGACTCCGATATCCTTTCAGTCGCTAGTCGTAACAGAGTCGTTGACAGGTCCTAATACGAAAATTAGCGAATGGAGCAGCTTAATGGCTTGCAAGCTCAAGATATGCAGGGCTCACATTTTGCTTCGAAGCTGTGCAATTTGTAATCCTGGGTCACTCGTAAGTCCTGCGGTTTTTCTTCGATCTGTCCGTTTGTGTATGTTTCAAGCTTCCAGGTCTTTTTAGCCATGAATGTGGGCTGCTTGTCAATGTACTTCTTCTCTTCGTTTACAAGTTTACAAACATGTAACACGGTCGTGATTGTGAATTGTGATGTCCTTCAGAAAGATAGAACATGACGGCTAGCACGCCACCTCTCTTTGGACCCGTTCTGTGCATGAACTGAAGCTTCCCCCGTTCACCGGCAGGTGTCAGCGTGAGCAGCCGTCTGCCCGCCGTGGTGGCGCTGCTATCAGCTGCCGCTGCTCTCTGGCCGGCCGGCGGCGCGGCGGCGGCCGTGCGCGGCTGGCCGCTGCAGACCTACGAGCTGGAGACTGAGGCGGAGGTGCGGCGCGACAGCTGCCCGAGCGGCTGGCGGCACGACGGCCACCAGTGTCTGATGTACGTGCCGGCCGTGCTCGGCTGGGAGGCGGCGCAGCGCCACTGCGAGGACGCCCAGGCCGGCGCAGCGCTAGCCTCCGTCACAGACGTGTTTCAGGTAGCGAACGGGGGATGGAGGGTTAGGCAGGAGGCTATGACTATTCTCATGCATTTTGCTTGCACCCTTCATTGATAGAGGGCTCACATGGCTACGATGCATGATATTTTGGTTTACGTTTTAATTTTCTTTTGGTTTGCATAATTCCAGAAATTTCGGGGTGTTCTAGATGAATCATTAATAAATTGTTATTAATTGAAACATTTTATGCATTCCTTTATCTCCAGTGAAAGTTCACCTGTTGCATTGTTATTACAAAGTTGATCTGTTGTAAACGCTGTCGGCTGTCGCACAATCGTAACCTAGTTCTCCGATCCTCCGCCAGATGTCCCAGCTGCTGCTGCGGGCCAAGCGGGCCGGCCAGGACCAGGTCTGGATCGGTCTTAGCGGCGAGATCGAGGCAGGCGAGGCGTTCTGGGGCTGGGCCGACGGCAGCCCGCTGGAGTTCCAGGTCTGGGAGGAGGGCACCGGGCCCGAGGTCGATGAAGAAACGGCGGCAGAAGCGGCGGCACAGGCAATGGGGGACGAGCCGCAGCTCTGCGCCGCCTTCTCGACGCGCAGGAAGAGCTGGCGCCCGGTGCCGTGCGACAAGAAACTCCGCTTCTTCTGCGGCTACATGCTGGCCGAAAAGAGCAACTGACCGCACGCCGGAAGTAAATAATTAGTGAATTGGATTACGTTGTACACAATGGTGAGGAGGACAGGAGTCGTATTTATTATGTGAATGTAGGCTGATGATGACGACCGGAATATAAAAAAATGTTCAAGCTGGCACACAAATATCCATCTATATCTGGCAATAAATGCAGCATGTAGCTTCTTGATAATATATAACGGAAGCTGCCGTCCAATGGCATAGGTAAGAAATAAATGAAACCAATTTAAGTAGATACCTACGTGTCTTACTCTTCATATTATTCTGGTCAGCTACTTACGAATATTGCTTGTATTTCTACGACTAAACACCGTCTCCAACCACTTTGAGCTAGTTGTTCCCGAGAACGGCTTGGTTGTGGTGGGGCGATGTTAGCCGAGTGCTTTATGAATCGTGTGGCGTGCCCTGACGGACACCACTGAGCGTGCTTTGCGTGCCGCAGCTCCTCGACGGTAGAGGTCAGGGGGCGGGGGCAGGGGTGCGGGGAGGGGGCTGATTGTGATATCGCGCTCGGTTGACGAAGGGGTACGAGGGGAGGGGTGGGGTGGACGGAAACAGGGTGAGATACAGCTAGGTCAAACAGATGCAAGCACAATGCTGGGATAGAACAGGCTATGAAAGACGGAACCGAGAAATACAGATATTACATCAAAGACTTGAAAGATTGCTTCGAGCGGGCAATATAATTCTCCAATGGGATGTCATGGCACTGTATAGGATGATACGGCAGCACTTATAATGTTCAATTGTTCAGAAGCACCGGCACCCGTGAGGAGAGAATAGAGATGGGGAGAGACGTCTGACTGATTCTATTGACAGTGAGCCTGCAGAGGGCCGGGGTGGGGCGCAGACCGGCCCCTTCGTGACAGCTCCGTCGTCAGGCACGACTGTCACGCTCAAGGTCGCTGACCGTTCAACGAAGTCATCCTCTAGCCGGCATACCGCCTTGGTATGCTACTGGCACAGAATGTCCAGACATTATGTGCACCTTACTTCTACAGCTGTCATGCCGCGTGTTTTCCATTAGCCGTAACTCCTTAGCAGGATAACAGCTCGTTAGCCCGCGGCGAGTCGCGTCCACCGTTTCCGTTTAAACCCTCATCACTCCGTTACAAAGTCACGACTCGACTGTGTATCTCTGCGCGGTGGCCTGCGGTTCTCGTGGGTTGGGGGCGGGGCAGAACCACCGAGGGAGGGGGGGGGGGTGAGGTCTGTATCCCCGTCGGACGCTATAATTAGTACGGGCGCCGGCCGACAGTGGGCCGACGTTCCGCCGCCGACGGCCGTCGGCGCCGTCGCTGCTCCGAGTGGGCCAGTACGGGCCAGGTGCGGGTCGGGCCCGGCACGGAGGGGGTGTGTCGTGTGGTGACCGGGTCAGGTGGAGGGGTGGAGACCAGCCGCTGCTACGTACTCAGTTGTGGGAAGTCTGGAAGTGATCCAGAGCCAGTGAGCGTACAGTTGTCGGGAGGAGGCTGAAAGAGAACCAGCCCGGGAGTTGTGAGCGTCAGCGAGTAGAATTTGGAAACGATTGGCGAGTCAGCCACCGAGCTGGGAGTTTCGCTGAGTCATGAGATCTAGAGACGGCTGGATAGCTAACCATTGAGCTGTGGGCGCTGTGTGGAGCTGTGGAAGAGTTGTGAATTTTAAGACGGTCGTGTTTCTAGCGGAGGAGCTGTGAATAACAGGATTTCCCCCACCACGGACGACCGAATGAAGATGTTGCTGGTCTTCTGAGACAGGTAGGTGTGTGGACGTGATGAATGTGTCGGTTATGAAAACAAATCGTCCATTTTCCATGCATATTACTGCGGCGCGGTTCAGAGCACTGCTTTACAACCAGAGGCTGCGAAACGATGAAAACCATAACGAATGAATTCCGAGCAACTATGTTTATAACATCGGGAAATTTACGAAGAATGAGTTGGATATGGGCGGGTGATGGTCACTTCCCCTCTTTCTCCGTAGGTTCAAAGGTGTCCTTATGACTGGCCTCTATTGCCTTGCCACAGGGCCTTTGGCCTTACGTGTAACGAACGTTTGTTTACCAACAGAGCACCAGCATCAGACGCTCGCTACGGCTAATCCATCCCGCCTCTGTGGACACATGGTAGTTAGCATTATGTGAGCACGTTTGATTTCCGCACGTGCTCTAGCGAGCACGTGCTACAATGACATGGATACATTGCCACCGCTCCACCCCCCCCCCCCCCAGCCGGTGTCAGCGATGTCCGTTTAGCGTACGCAGGGAAAGTCCTGCGGCGGCTTATCTGCCCCTCTCCGCTCCCCTTGCAGCTAATGATGGGGATGGTGCCCCTTTTCATTATACCTATTACCTATTGATGCAACTGGGTCCCTGTCTCAGTGCAATTTTTATTTATTTGATTTGTTTACCTATATTAGCCGTTTTCACGACGGGTTATCTGGCGAATGCACCTAATATGACCAAATCTGCACTAAATCTCTGTAACAATAAATTATCCTCGTAGTCGTATCATGAACTTATTTTAGTGTTTTAATAGAAAATAATGTCTGATAATTTGAAAAATGAGGTATAGAAGCATTTGTGCAGCCCAAATTGATAACTTTTAAGAAATCCACTGAATATAATTTGGCCAAATCTGCAGCAAATCGGCAGCTAATCTGCACCAAATGTGTACCAGATGACCGTCGCGAAAACGGCTATTTATGACTTTTCGGCCGAAATAGACAATTAAAGTCCTTTTTTAATGTTGTTCTACATCAAGTGCATGGTTGTTTCTAGGGTTCCTTTAAGTTCTAAGTGTACACAGTTTATGAAGAGACTTGACTTTCGATTTTTTTTGTGCTTTTGTCCATCACATAATCGCGTGTCATATCAACGCAGCAGTGAATTAAATAATTTATTTTTATTTCGTAGGTATTTAACTTTAATTATTATTTCCGACTGTAATGGTATTTATTTCACTGCACCGGCCATCTCACGCCAATGCGCGATGACCGTCTAATGAACTGCCCGTTTACATGCCTCGTTTCGCCGCGTTGCAGGGACGGCGCTAGTTCCAGAGCTGTTCCGCCAGGCGGCGCACTAGTAGCCACCATGGGCTCGGCAGTACCGTCGCCGGCGGCGACTGCCAGTGGCAGCGCGCCGCGGTCAGCGGGACCGCCGCACGAGGACGCCATGCTGGCCGAGGAGCGCGATCTCGCTGACGATGCCCAGTGGAAGCGTATCCAGCAGAACACCTTCACCCGCTGGGCCAACGAGCACCTGAAGCCGCGCAACCGTCGGATCAACTCGCTGGAGACGGACCTGCAGGATGGACTCAACCTGATCGCGCTGATCGAGGAGCTCAGTGGAAAGCGAATGCCGCGGCACAGCCGGCAGCCCACGTTCCGCTCGCAGAAACTGGAGAATGTGTCCGTGGCGCTGCGATTCCTCGAGAGGGACGAACACATCAAGATCGTCAACATCGGTGAGTACCGCACTGATGGGACGAGTTGGGACGTGATGGAATAGGGTAGGCTGGGACATTATGGGAGGGATGGCAGTCAGAGGGACAGGACGTGAGTTGACACTGGACAGGACGAGACGGGGAACGGGACGAGAAAACGCGAGACGAGACAATAGCCGGGTGACGAGGGACGTGTCAATTGGTCTCGCCTGTATCTTGACCTAGCGGAGATGACGAACTTATTACTTAGCACTGACGCTGTGATGCTAGATTACCTATCACATGCCTTGGCTAAATACCGGTGCCTTTTTCGTCACCTCGGATTCCCTCAAAATGACATTCCTGGTCCAGTAGACGATCTCGCCTCTCAGCTTACGCGACATCATTCCAGTCTCTGTCACCTATCACGTCATCATACTGGATTGTCTCCCATCACCGGACCCGTCTCTGACCCGGCGTATATTTCCCGGGCGCCGGCCCCTAGTGCGTGACAGGTCGACGTGTCATTTTCTGAGAGTCACGCGTGTTCCCCATCGACCGAGCGTGGCGTGTCTCCCCGCAGTGTGTGTGTCTCCCGAGCGGGTCTCCTCGTCTCTCAGTCACGTCTCCTCATTGCTTCTCCCCTGAACACGCTTCTTCTCTCCACCATCGCATCGATACTGTGGATTCGAATGCTGATGTTCGAAGATTAATCGGCAGTCTTCGTTCCCAGCAGCTTCCTCAGATCGAGTCTGGTCCTGTCAATTTTGCCGGGTCAGATTGCACTGTCAAGTTGGGTCGGGTCAGGTCTGTGCACTGTGCAGGTCACTCAGCAGTCAGCTGACTTCCATGCTCGCAACTCTGGGTGTGGGAATTTGAGCTTGTTCAGTGAAGACATATCCTGCCTCACTGGACCTAAGCTTCGTCCTCCCTCATGAAACTCGTCTGCAGAATTAATGAGTTATCACGCTTGCCAGAGGGCCGTACAGCAGCGGTTATAGCCACTTTGCACCGCAGTAGGTACGCGGTCAGCCGATATTTCTGGCCGGTGATAAACGTGCAAGGCTTCAGGAACTGGTTAAACCGAAATTAGACCTTTATCTGGTGGATATACCTACTCGTACGTTGCGAATTAATGGGCCGGAAAATGCATGGATGGTAGGATAATTTTACAGTATATAGTTCATATTTATATATTTGTCGGAGTTTGGACGTTTTTGGCGAGATTGCCACTGTTATTGGAAATAAAATTTCGGTCATTGAACCAATGCGGGCATTATAACATCGCTACTGACGCGTTCACTACCAGCCACCGAGCGCTTTCATAAATAAGTGCAGCTCCGAGTCCGGGCTACAGGTTTCGGCATTCCACCGGTCCCGTGCCATTCAGATCCTGCAGACTGCAGGTGCCCATCCCCTTCCGCGGGGTAGGAGAGCGTGGCGCTACCCGTCACACCAACCACGTGACATCGGGACCGTCACAGCGTCACGGCAGTGCAGAGATGGCCGTGATATTCCTGTGTTACGGGTCACGTAACGAAGCACGTGGGATCAAACTGCATGGGTCTATAATGAACTCAGAACGTAACCGACAATTATATGTTGCCACTATAAGAATTGGTTGGATAGCGATTGGTGATTAATTTCATCTCTGCGACTGGTGCTGTTTCTGCCTGTCTTGTCTGCTTCTTCTGTCGCTGCTTCTACATTTTTGTTGCCGCTACTGTCGCTGCTTCTGTTTGTTACTGAGCTGACGCAATTGATGCCACTGTCACTATCACTGTCATTCACTGCTGTCAGTGTCAGTGTCAACTGCCGTCTGTCACCAACGCCACGCGTGTCGGGCTTCCGGTGCGTCCCGGCGGCCGTTTTAGGGTGCACAGCTGTGATTGAATGCCGGCACTATGCGTCCGCCGGCGGACAGTGTTTGTTTTGCAACTGTCCGCCCCCAGATGACCTCGGCGGGACACGGGACATGTCACGCGTGACAGAGCGGGGAGGGGAGAGAGGAGGGCGTCCTGCGGGTGGAGTGAAATACAGCGAGGGAGCTGGGGACGTAAAGAGAGACTAGGGTGCTAGGTCAGCCGAGGGAAGGGGTGTCGCGAAATGAAACGGTACCTGTCATGTGCTGCAATGGCCGTTGTAAGATGTGATGGGCGAGCGAGGAAATATCGGAGTTCGTATCCGTTTCTTATTCTGGCAGCCCGTTCCGTGTCCGTTCCGTGTCCGTTCTGTATCGGTTTCCGCTTCGCTTTCGTTTTGTTTCCGTTTCGTTTCCGTTTCCTTTCCGTTTCGTTTCCGTTTCCTTTCCGTTTCACTTCCTTTACGTGTCCGTTCCGTGTCCGTTCCGTGTCCGTTCCGTGTCCGTTCCGTGTCCGTTCCGTGTCCGTTCCGTGTCCGTTCCGTGTCCGTTCCGTGTCCGTTCCATGTCCTTTCCGTGACCGTTCCATGTCCGTTTCCGTTTCGCTTTCGTTTCGTTTCTGTTCCGTCTAATTGTCCGTTCCGTATCCATTCCGTGTCCGTGTTCGGTCCGTTTGTTGTTCTCAGGCCACTGTAACTAGACCCGGGAGGTGACCCTTCAGCGATGGGAGGTGGTTGTGGCTCACACGTTCCCCCACTGGAGTGACCACACTCCAGACGTGAGCCCAGAGCAGTCACGTCCCGCCGGCAAAAAAGGCCAACAACACCAGCGGTCAGCTGCGGTCACCGCAGACTGGTGGTGAATCGTGGTGAATGCGATGGCGAACGGTGGTGACTGAGACTGTGACTTGACCTGACTATGACTGTGGTGGAAACCGTGATTGTGACTGGCAGTGAGCAGTGGAGCATATTCAGGTATATAAACTCTTGTGCTTTAGCTCTTCGTCAATGCAACGACTCAAAAGTCAAAACAGCGTTTTCTGTCCTCGATTACCCGTATCGACCCAAGCCGACGCGATGCAACATCAATGTTATGATAAATATTGATGTTACGCCTTCAAACTCTTCACTATTTACCAATACATTTGCTGAAACCAGCCATACGCACTCTATTCGATGTAAAGGTATGGCGATTGGTCAAGGCTGTAGAACAATTGTGTGGTGACCCAACCATTCACGTTATGCGCAGATTAAGACCTCCTAAAATCTCTGTTGGTCTGATCAAACAGTGTGTGAAGCACCGGCGTTATGGGGTCTATAGAAGCCCCATAAACTGTCCGCACCCCATTGGTTGACGTTACAGCCCTCTCCTGACGTTACAGGAGGGGAGGTTAGGGGAGGGGAGGGGAGGGAGATTGCTGCAAACTCTGCGAACCGCTACCCGACCCGACGGCGATCTATTGGAGTTTCGTGTTGCGCCTGCGGGGGATCCGATGGCGCTACTGACTGATGTGATTTACTGACAGACAGATCAGTCAGCGCTGACTGGGAACTACTGACTGGCGGCTGAGATAGATAGGTCAGCAGACAGACTGCAGACTGGCGACTGCGGACTGGGAAAGACAGGTCAGCACTCAGCAGTCTGGGTGAATGGAACGAACGAGCAGACAGAGCCTACTAAACTGAACGGGCAATATTTGTCCGATGAAGACGAGACAGCATGCGGTTTGATTGTCCCTGTCATTAAAAGTCGAACACACACCGAAAGACAAACAGCATCGAATGTCGATATCAAAAGACAGTGCCGGTTCTGAACGTCAGACGATCTCAACGGTTGAGAAGGACGCCTCTTGGTTCTCCTGAAGTCCCCTGGCTCTACCTCCAATCCTGGACGCGGGTAGCCGTTTGTGGTGGACAGAGAGAGCAGCACATTCCGTGAATGTCGCCGCCGGTGGGGTGCGGCGCAGTCATAGTTGGCAAGTCGCCGTCTCAGCGGCACGGGACGGCTGCTCTGACCCTGTTCGACGACGGGCGGGTAGTCAGGTGTGCTCTCTCAGTCTTTGTGCCCTGCTCCAGTCAGACAAGCTTCCGGGTCTCGGAGAAACTCACAAAGGAAGCAAAGACGGATGTTGTTTTTAAAGGGAGCTACAATGGGATTCAGGCATAAATATGTGCTGTTTCCAATAAAATTTGTGCAAAGACGGTGACCGTGTCACTATTTGCTAGTGCTGCTATAGCTTTTAACCCGCGCACCGACGGGGGTCTGCGCCAACTTCGCACCGGCGGGGGGGGGGGGCGGATGACCGCCCCCCCTGAGATCTCGAGAACGAAGCAAGATAGCGACAAGCGGTAAACGGCATCGGATACGCACGGCCAAGATCTACAATTTTTACAAGGTCATTTTCAGGTCAGGTCAAAGATGACGTCACAGGGGTCGAAAAAGTCAAAATGGCGGCGCTAGATATGGAGAGAGTTTTTCTCGAATAACTTTCGAATTAGTCAAGATAGGAACAAACTAAGGGCATCATCGTGATCCTCTCGTCAATCCGCATCGAATGATATATATATATATATATATATATATATATATATATATATATATATATATATATATATATATATATATATATATATATTGACCTCGAAAGGTCAAGGTCAAAGGTTGACCTCAGGTCACGTGACCTCGAGGTCATCATGTATATCATTCGATGCGTCTTGACGAGCTGAATACAATGAGACCATCCACGCGTCTGTATCTTGTTCCTGTACGGAGTTATTGGCCAAAAACCTTTGGTGACATTTGATGACGTCACATGACCTCACAGCTGCCCAACAGCAAAACAGACCTCAAGGTAGTGAAGGTTGATCGTATATGAAGTCATGTATGGTATATGGGGCCATTCCGACCCGTTTTAGTGGTAAAAACAGGGAGTTGATTTTTCCCCCATTGACTTATAATGGGGAGGTCGCGAAATTGACCTGACCTTAGGTCACCGATATCAAAATTCCGAGATATACAAATTGTAGCTACTAATGACCTAATAATATCCTGCGACTTTCAAAGGTCTCCGACATCTACTGTAGCTCTGGCACGGTGACAAAGTTGCAAAAAAGTGACTTGAGGTTGGGTCATTCAAAGTGACCTGGTGACCTGACCTTAAAAGGTAGGAGGTTCAAACTTG